TGAGTCATGTACATAGGAAGCCAGAAATGAGATCGAAAGAAAAATGTTCTTTTTATGTAGGTATTTGGTACTTGCTAAAAAATTAGTTTTATCATCTGTTTTTAAGTAATTTAAGTGTCTAATTTTGGTTCCCTTTTTGTGACTATTTTAGTGTGATGATGCTTTTATTATGAGTTGATGTTTGATTGTTTGGTTGTATGGTAGTTCTTGACACTGATTAGGTTGTGCTTTGTGCAGAAAGTCAGGTTACAAATGTTTTAAATAATAAAAACCAAAATTTAAAGAGGTGTTGGCTTGGCAGAAAACTCTCTCTTTCTCGACCAGAGGCATAATCTGATAGGAAGGATGTAAGATCTGTGAAGACTAGCTTTAGAAGGTGAGCGCAGTGCAGTGTAAACTGGGGGCTGAAACTTCCTAGAGTAAATGAGTAACAATTCATTTCCAGGAATTAAAAGAAAAAAAAAAACCCACCAGTCAAATCTCTAAAACCACTTGCCATCTACTTCCAACCACTGACCACAGCAAGGAAAATAATCCAAACAATGAATAGCCTGCATTGGAGAGAGCACCCACCATACAATCAATCTTGTGACACTTCCCAGATTAGCAATTCTTAGTAGTTTTTCTGAATGCCAACAGGATTGGTGCTGATCCCCTTCAGGTGGAGCACTATTCCAGAGAGAAGGCAAGCTTAATTACATCATGGTTAATCATGGCACATAAGTTTGTCAAGGATAAAGCCAAGGGAAACTTCATGGGTCACTTGAAGAAAAACAAAATTTCTGCCTTAAGGTATCTCTGTGTAAAGAAAGGATGTGCAAATGAATTTAAATGGGTTTCATTTTGTCCATGTCACTATTTTTCACATAGATTCCATTTTGCGATGTTTTTTTTTAAATGTAGAAAACCTGTATTTACTATTGTTTGCAGCTTTCAGCAGTTGACCCACTTTTCTATGTAGGCTTTTTATGCAAATCATTCTACCAACTTTATACTTCTTTGTGTGAATATTTGAATGGCAAGAGCACACATTCCAAGCCTCCAGTCAAAATTGGTTGTTGGTGTTATCATTTTTGTGCTATCACACTCCTAGTGAAATCCATGCTGGATTCTTTTCCTTCTCTAACCTTGACAAAGCTTTTTTTCTTCCTCATCCATAGCCTTTCTTTGGCTTCTTCCTTTAGTTGCCCAACATACACGGAGACAGGGCAATATTGACAAAAAGAAAACATGGTTTTCCGTTTTTTGTTGCTGAGAACAATCAGTGTGGGGGGGAGGGAGACCTGTGTCTGCTGATGGTCTCTATCATTCTATAAAATCCTTTGATGATCAGAAGCTTGAAAACCATTTCACTAATGTAAATAGCTGTGTCAGTTTGGGTTTTGTAATGCCTTTTCCTCTGTTTTGCTTTCTTTAATAGCTGGTGCTATCCACTTCTAATTTGATTGCTTTGTACATGGCTAATCCAAGTGGGTCATTTTGATTTGTAGGCTTGTTGTCCCAAATTATGTCATTGGAGTTTGGCAATAATTCCTGTTCTGCATCCAGATCTTCATAGGCATTTCCAGGCTTTTTGGAGGGAGGGAGGAATGTGATGAATGTGTGAAGAGAAACATCCCTAATTTTTGAAAAAAGACTCAGTACAACTTCAATTTTGCATAGATGGTTAGGGAGCTTTTCATGCAATCTGTTTTTAAATGGCTACTGTAACAATGAAAAAGGCAAATTTTTCAAGTCTGCTAGCTCTCAATCACCAGGAAAAAAAAGAAGTGAAAAGGCAAGAGTTATAAATGCATAAAGCATAAACTGTACATTGGGGTGTAAGAAAATTTAAACGGAGGGAGGATTCACTTTCATAGAAATTGGGGGAGGGCACTAAGCCATCACCAACAGCAGGCAAGAAGGTCACTGCTGCTGCTTCTCATTTGCCCATAGATCTTCTCACTATCCTCTCATGAGAAACTGGTGTATGTTATAGGGTTGAAAGGCAAAGCAAGTGGAGGAAAAGCAATAGAAAGCAAAGGAAAAGCAATAGAAATGCAAAGAGAGGAAGATAATTCTTTTAGAGGGTGAGAGATTCACATTCTTCCATGGTCCCTTAAGAAATATGGGTGAGGAGAGATGGGCAGCCTTTTTCAGCATAATATTTAACGGCATTTATTTTATGAATTAAGGTACAATTGAACTAGAGGAATTAAGTTTTCTTTCTTTTAAAAGAACTCATATCATCATCTTCTTCATTTCAACCAAGGTCCCAATATTTATGAAAAGCTCAAGCTGTAATTTTGCTTTGCTCAAGGAAAGACACCTGAAAGACTCCTGTTCTGCTTTTTGTCATTGCATAATCTACATCCTCCCGAACTCAAAGTTGTGAAAAGGATCCAATTACAGTTTAGCAAGTTATGCAGTCTTTGAATGCCTTCCAAGGTTTGTTGGCATTTCCACTGTAGCTCAGCAGCTGGTACCATCTTTCATATCAAATTCTATGCATTCAATCAGAAGATATTTCAGCATTAAACCATTGACGTGATAAAATGGCAAGGACAACAATTATAGGGCTTCAATTTCCCTTGAAACTGACTACTTATTTGTACTGTGCATGAGTAGTAACTTTCAATAGCTATCTTTTCCAGAGCAAATGTTTTTTTAAAAAAAATCTTTCAAGAAACTAGCATAAAGCATAATTACCATAATATATGGCTGATCCTATAAAGGGCTCGGATGTTCATCTCCTTTTGAAAAAGTGGTAAACTGAATTTGAAGATTCTAAATACCTAAATCAAACTCTTATGTTCTATTTCTTTGATTTGTTTGCACGATTTCCCAGCTGCTAGAGCTTAAATAATATTGAGCAATGAATTCATCAAGCTATTAACACAATGGTGTTCTATAAGACACTTAATTAGAATCCCCTTCTTTGTTTATTAGACATAATTTACCATGAAAACCATGAAGAAATTTAGCAGAATCTGCAGCTCTTGCAATATATTTCTGCTTTGCTAGCAAGAATGCAAGAATACATGCAATACATATATAATATACTAAAACTCTCCTATTTCATTGGGCTTAACATCGATAATAACTGTTGATAATAATAACATTGCTACCTAACTGTAATTGATAAGACGCTGGATGTTTGCTGTGTAATGATAGAAATACCTTTCTGGATTTGAAATGACTTCAATTTCTGCTCTTCCCCCCTCTTCCTCCTCAGGAATCTTTCAGAGCAGGGGTCCCCAACCTCTGTCCGTGGACTGGTACTTGGCTGCGGCATGCCTACAATCAGTCTGCACAAACAAGCAGGCAGCACACAAAACCACACATTCTCCAGTCCGTGGAAAAACCTTTCTCCATGGAACCGGTCCCTGGTGCCCAAAAGGTTGGGGACCTCTGATTCAGAGAATGTATCCACCTTTAAATACCTGATTGATCTATCTTATTTTTTTAAACAATGAACTGGCATGAATAACTCTAATTAAATTAGAGAAATGAATGCAATTCATCAGAGTCTAACCCTTTAAGGATTTGAGATTGTGGATTATGAAGTTCTGGTTCTTCTTCTCTCTAGTTTCCTCCTCCACCTCCTCCTTTTCTTCTTCCTCTTTATTATTTGCCATGAATGTGAGGTCCATTCTTAGCAACTATGTAGATTCTGTTTGTGACAATCTGTCCCTAACCATTTCTTTAGTTCTTCCAATTTTTTTTTCACAATATCTGAAAGCAATAATAACACGCGTGACATTGTACAGTATATGTAGTCCTCGACTTGCAATCACAATTGAGCCTATTTTTTTTTGTTGCTAAGCAAAACAGTTAACTGAGGTTGGACCCATTTGATGACCCATTTGATGACCTTTCTTACCACAGTTTGTTAAGTAAATCACTGCAGGTTCAGTGAATCTGATCTGGCTTCCCCATTGACTTTGCTTGTCAAAAGGATTCAAAAGATGAACACATAACTCTGGGACACTGCGACCGTCATAAATATATGCTAATTGACAAGGGTCTGAATTTTGACCAGAGAGAGTTGCTGCAATGGTCATTAGTATGAAAAATGGTCATAAGTTACTTTTTTTCAATGCTGTTGTAAATTCAAATGATCACTAAACAAATAGTTGTAAGTCAAGGACCCCCTGTATAACAATGTACACAGAGTACTGGACTGAACCAACCATTTATTTGTTTGTTTATGTATTAGACTTCTAGAACTGCCTATCTCATGCATTATAGTGCTGAGCTACTTACAAATAACAATTAAAAAACCACCAAAGCAGCACTTTCCCAATCACATTTACTGGGCTCCACCTTCACTTAACCCCAACCAGCTAGAATTTGAAGGATTCTGGAAGGCAAGGAGGCTAGGGGCCTGCCAGATCTCAGAGTGAAAGGTCTCCATATTTTGATAGCCTCTCTAGTTTTTGTCCCAGACAGATGAAACATAAACATATAAACTGTTTGAAGCAATTATCCAGATGAAATCTAATTCTGGATTAAAATATTTAATATTTGGCAATAAGACCAAATGAATGAAGGTGAGAAAGATCCTACTGGATCAGATCAAAACAGGACATGAACACAGTTGTACCATCCTACTTGCACTATCCGGCAACTGTGGTTTTTCTTTTTCCTTGTAACACATTAAAATGATTCTGTCTGGGCATACATACCCCCTTTTATTGTTTTCTTCTATTTTAACTGTGTAAGCATCCCAGAGAAATTTTAGTTAAGTAGCCATCTAAATCTAATACAATAAATATTAAATGTAAAAACTAATATTTAACTATTACAACAGTAAAGGATGCTACCGCTAATATTAAACCTCCATAATCACAATATGGTTAAATAACCATCATCATAATATTTAACCATCAGTGAAATATTAGTATTTCTTTGTATTATGTGTTTAAAATTATTGTTAAGCTTTACTTTCTATTATTAGTTTAAATATAAGTTATGTTTGTCGTAGCTGACAGATTACATCTCTATTCATCCCCTAACAGATCAGCCGTACTCATGGTCTCCAACTCAGCTGTCCTTCAGTGAGGAAAGATATTCTCCTGTTTCAAGTAACATGAAAGGATTATCTGGCGGGCGTAATCAATCACAATTATGTTCTGCGCATACTTGTGGTTTACCATCCCCTGAAGATTGTGAACACAGCCACGATCATCTTCATCATGGCCAGGAGTCAAGGCAATCGTATCTTCTCAGCCCAACTGAGAGTTGCCCAGTGGATCACCATCGCTGCTCACCACGAAGCTCCATCCATTCAGAATGTATGATGATGCCCATGGTTATGGGTGATCATATGTCCAGTAGCACTTTCCCCAGAATGCACTACACCTCACACTACGATACTAGGGACGATTGCACCATGTCTCATGCGAACACTAAGATTAACCGGATCCCAGCAAATTTGCTGGATCAATTTGAGAAGCAACTTCCTCTCCATAGGGATGGCTTTCACACTTTGCAGTACCAAAGGACATCAACAGCAGCTGAACAACGCAGTGAAAGCCCAGGTAGAATACGTCACCTTGTTCATTCAGTCCAAAAACTGTTCACAAAATCACATTCTTTGGAAGGATCTTCCAAGAGCAATGTAAATGGGGCAAAGGGGGATGGCCGAGGTGATGACCATCATCATGGACATCATTCTAAACATAGCAAAAGAAGTAAAAGTAAAGAGCGAAAGCCTGAAAGTAAGCATAAAACTGGAATGAGCAGCTGGTGGAGCTCTGATGACAACTTGGACAGTGATAGCACTTACCGAACACCTAGCGTGGTAAATAGGCATCATGTAGACCATATCTCTCATTGCTATCCTGAGGCTCTTCAGGGACATTTTGGGGATCTCTCATTAAAGACTTCAAAAAGTAACAATGATGTGAAATGTTCAGCTTGTGAAGGTCTTGCCATGACCCCTGATGGCAAGTACATGAAAAGGAGCTCTTGGTCTACCCTCACAGTAAGCCAAGCTAAAGAAGCTTATCGGAAGTCGTCTCTTAATCTAGACAAGCCTCTAGTTCATCAGGAAATAAAACCCTCCCTGAGACCATGCCATTATCTTCAGGTAAGTGTAAAATGTTGTTAATATTCTTAATTGAAGAGCAATATACTCTTTTAACATTTGCAAGACAGGATTCTATGGGCATTCTTTCCAGTAGTTTTTTTTTTTTTGTTAAATTTTGTAAAAATTCCTTATTTTTTTTCCAAGGTTCACCTACAGCTAGAAATAAAACATGAAGCAGAGATCAGAAACTGGTTTTATATAAGTTATCCATAACAAACTTTAGGTAAAAGTAAAACATAACTATTGTCATGGAAAAACCCAGTGAAAAAGATAAGAGACAGCAACACAAAACAATAATTCTTACTTTAAGATTCAGAGGTTTATTTCAGCAGTAATTTAGAACACACACATAAACATCACTTACATTAAAAACCCATTGCAATGAGGTCCAATGACATAGCAGTTCCAATAAGGACAGCTATAGGCCAGTGGCAAATCAATCAGCCCCGGTCCCAATCTCTTATACCCTTTCCCATCCTAAAACCGCAGACAGATGGTTAGCAATCTTACACATTCTGCTGACCCTTTGCTGAACATAACTTTCCACATACTCGTGTACATTGGAACTTACATCCATCAGCTACTTTCAGTTTCCTATTTCTTACAGTTCCAGTCCTTATGTTCTAAATATATTTGAAACAAGCAAGTTTAGCAAAATCATATTAAGTAAAATACAGTTGCAGTTTAGATTACAAATAGTTCCTTCGGATTGTAAAACTGAGCATAGCACAAACTTTGGTTCAATACTTTTCCATGAGGCCTGATTTAATTCACCTGGGCCTAAACCTTGCATAGAAGAACAAAAGCCAATATTTTTGTTTTCCACACCATCATAGTCCTATCGATATTTGATGGCCTTCTCAGAAGCATCTCGGATATGTTTTACTGGGCTTCCTCATTCCCCCCCCTTTCAACAGCACCTGCATAAGATAGCAGTGATGGTGGCCATAGGCCATAGGCCACAGGTCCTAGTCTTTAATTATGTGCTAACCAAACAGGGCAACAAACACTCTGCTTCTCCCTAAGGACTCTGAATGGAGCCTTAGTACCCTCAAAAATGTGTGAGGTGTGTATTTTCTTGCAGCTACGACCACCCAATCACAAAGGACTAACTTTGAAAGATGCTGATTGGCTGCACCAAATTCATGCAATGCATGTATAACAAATAATACTATTTCTTTATAAAAAGAAGAAAAAGAAGAATTGTGAGATTGAAAAAAACCTTATATCAAATTCTTTTCTGTTTGCCTGTTTTTTTCACTATATCCGATCCTTGGGCGCTTTTCCCCAGCTAGTTGTGAAACTTAGACTCAAAGTCATTGCTGCAACTTTTCTGTCCATTAATGCTTTATTTAGACCTCCCTTTAAAAGTGAGATTAAAGTTTCTTTGCATGCTCAGCTATAAGTGTCTAGGTTGCTTTAACACTTTTTCCTTTTATTAAGCTCAAAGAAAAATGACTACATTCAAATTTTATCAGGCAAAATAGTTTCAGTTAATAGGATAAAGACTAAAAGCAATATATATATATATATATATATATATATATATATATATATATATATATATATATATATATATATATGTTTTCTGAGGTTTTCGCGCCAAGACACTTCCAATTTTACGCAGGAGAAAACCCGAACAACCAAAGACCTACATGTATATATATATATATTTTCAGTGCACGCATTGAAGAACATAAGAACTCAGTCAAAAAAGAGGAACCAACATCTTCCCTGATCCAACACCTTAAAGCCACAGGACATGAAATTGACTTTAAAAATACCAGAACCATTGCCAAAAGTGTACATTTTAATAACAGAATAATCAGAGAAGCCATCGAGATAGAAAAACGCCCACACAGCATGAACAAGCGAAATGATACCTCCCGCCTACCAGCCATTTGGAAACCCGCCCTTATTGACAAACGACTCCCTAACACAAAAAATGATACCAGACCCACACTCACAAAAACCACACAGGATGTCACCACCACACATCCACGCAAAAAACAAACCCAAAGCCACACCGATGATGAGGCACGACCACAAACCAGAATGCATCATTAGCCACTTTAAACCCTCCAATCCATACATGAAGCAAACTGACACCCTCCATGAAGAGGAGACACAACCACGAACGAGAAGCCAAAAAATAGCAAGGCAGCCCAAAATCTTAAACCCCTCTGCAACTCAAACTAACCTGAGCACAACCAAACAGAACACTCCCCCAGCCAATCAGAGCACAGCCAAGCCCCTAACCATTCAGAACACACCTCCACCCAATCAGAACACAGCCAAGCTCCCACCCAATCAGTTCATACCCCCACTGGCAGTTAAAAGGAAGAAACAGCTAAGACCACACATTGCTGCTCAAAGCACGAAGCTGAAAACACCAGCCTGAAGATGACGAATGAGACTTCGTCGAAACGTTGCCAAGACACTTCCAATTTTACGCGAGAGAAAACCCGAACAACCAAAGACCTACATACAAATACCCGTGAAAACCTCAGAAAACAAATATATATATGAAGTTTTCGCGGGTGTTTGTATGTAGGTCTTTGGTTATTCGGGTTTTTTCCCGCATAAAATTGGAAGTGTCTTGGCGACGTTTCGACAAAGTCCCATTCGAATGGGACTTCGTCGAAATGTCGCCAAGACACTTCCAATTTTACGTGGGAGAAAACCCGAATATATATATATATATATATATATATATATATATATATATATATATATATATATATATATAGATATACACACACACACATTTAGTTGAATTGAGGAATTACATGAAAATATGTAAGCATAAACAAAACAAAAATAGATATCAAAATTCACCAGATATACATTTCTCATGTTAAAATCATATAATTTGTTTGGTCTTATCTCCTATTAATAAATTATCCATAAATTTGATGTCCTAAGCCAAGAAACATAGTAAAATCTTATTGTCATTCCTGTGAATGGCAGTTCAAAACAGAGCAGTAAGAAAAAACATATGAGCTGATTTTCCAAATTTAATTTAGGTTTCTAACATGAACATTATTGCCAAGTTTTATTAAACATTCTCTGAAATATTCATTAAATACAGAATAGACTTTTGGTTGTGTAAACCACATTAGAAAATAAAAAAATGAGTGACAGTTAAATGGCCTAAATCTATCAATCAATCAACTAATTAATTAAAGTTTTTTGTGAGGAAATATAATTATCCTATTGAAGCCAGTACATTTTCCTCTCTGGAGCTAGGGGAAGTTTAAAGGAGGATATTTTAGAAGAGAGTTAGAATGAGAGTTAAACACTATTTCTTTTGATTTGCTTTCTTTTTCAGCAGCTGCAAAAAACTGCTAATATTTTTAATTATATGAGATTGCATAATGGATCACACAGGTCATACTGAAATATTGCTATTGATCTTTATGTTAGAGATAATTCATTTATTATATATTTATTTTATTTATTTATTAGATTTTGATTCTACCTTTATTACTTTATAAATAACTCAAGATGGCAAACATACATAATATACACTTTCTTCCTCCTATTTGCTCCACAACAATAACCCTCTGAGGTAAATTGGCCTGAGAGAGTGTGACTGGCCCAAAATTATTTTATACACTATAATTTACTTATATTTTATAAATTTATATATTATAAATTATATACATTGCATAGAGAGCAAATTAGTCTATCTTTGAAGCATTGAATCACTGAATCTTCAAAGTGTTGTCTATAATACTGCCAATTTGAACAGAAAATATGTAAATCTTAAACAATGCAGCAAGTAGCTAACGTTGTTTAATGAATGAATAAAAAATAGATCAATACCACTTTTACTCGACTACTTCTAAGAAATATTTTGAAATGGATGTTCACTAACTGAAAGAAATTCATTATAATACATGTTTAAAGTTAAACCTCTTTTTAGTCATTGAATGGAAATCAATTACTGATTTTCTGTATTCAAATACTCATAAATGAATAAATTTAAATGTGTGTAAGGTATATAAGATTATTCTAAGAATATAAAAGCAAAAGGGGGGGGAGTAAAGAAAGAACATATTTATCTACAGAAGCCCTTAGTCTGTGTTCCTTTTGGATAAAAAAATAAATAAAAAGATAAAAAATAAATTTACTGGTTGCAGTAGAGATTAGGAGAGAATGAATAACAGAGACTTTGGAATCAGAGCTCAAGTTGCAATTTGTTTTTGGCTTAGTATGAAGTATGAACCAGTGCCTTATACTTTAACTGACACTTCCAGCGGATAACCCAGAAATAAAAAGCTTCGTTTTTCACCTGGCAGTTACTTCAGACAGCCACCATTCCTAATTCTTGTTCTCATCAGCTGATAGCTAGTTTATTTTTCAATAACTTCCAAAAATGCTCTCTGCCTCAGTCTGATGGAAGAGCATCATGCGGTAGTAGCTGCTGCTGCAGGTCTTGAAAGACTTTTGAATTGCCATGTATCAACTCTAAAAGAAGGATGGTTTTGGAAGTTAGTGCTTTGCTTTGCAGCATGCCAGGTTCCTTTATTTAATTAGATTTAGGCGCCATCTGACTCCAAAATGATTCTGGGTGGCTCATAATATAAAACAAACAATATAAAAACTAGACAAGACTATATACGTAAACAAAATAACACCCATCAAGACAATGGAATATGTATATGAATACAGGTAACAGTGGGGGGGGGGAGCATAGCCATCCTAGCCCAAGGCCAGGGAGAACAGCCAGGTTTGCAAGGCCTTCTGGAATGACAAGAGACAAACAAGACTATTTGAGTACACCACCCAGAGCCATTTTGCTTGTTTGGGTGGCTTTTTAAATCTGAGAAGGAGAAAGAAGAGAAACTTGATTGTGCACCAAACAAATTAGCAAAGTCAGAGACTTGTGGGGAAATTGGGGACAGGATGGTATGCAATGTCCCATGGGCTTTAAACATTAATTTCCATACCTTATTGGAACACGGTGACTAAAATCCTAGTGAACAAACAGAAGC